TTTAAAACCCCCCCCCCCCCCCCCCCCCCCCCCCCTGACTGCTCTCTGCGGGTACCCTTGGCTGACCGGACCTCTTCTTCTTCCCTCTCCTCTGGGTGTGTTTAACCTTTTTATGACTCTGTTCCTCTTCTCGCAGGAGAGACGGGCAGCCGCCCGGGCGTACGCGTCGTGCATGTGCGCGCACAGGTCATCGCCATCGCCGCCGCCGCCGCCGCCGCCGCCTGCATCCTCATCGCTCGGCTCAGGAGGCCCCCCGCCGTCTCCCCCCGGCCTCACGCCGCGGACGCTGGAAGAGATGTCCGCCCTCTCCTCGGCCCTGTTACCGCTGCTCTCTTGCGAACGGGGCGACGCACGAGTGTCGGGGTGGCGTGGGGGGGGCGGCGGAAGGGAGGGTGGTGGGTTTTCCCCCCGCGGTGTGGAAGAGTTGCTCGAGGCGGTGCTGTGGAAGGTAACGCTAGGTGTCCGGACGCCTTTTCTCTGGCGGCTTTGTCTTGGCCCGCGCAGGCGCAGAGGCTCTGTTGATGTTCTTACGGGCGTAGTGGCAGGGAGGAAGCGGCCTTTTTTGTGGCGATTTGGTCTCTTTGGTGTTTTTTTGGATATGGCCAAATAGCCAGGTAGAGGTCGGACTGTTCCGTGTTTTGTTTCCACTTGCCTTAACGAGGAGGGAGTGGTGGTATGTTTGGTCCGACGGCGGATCCAAGCCAGTAGCTCTTTCTGTGGGACGTTTCCTGTGAACTCAACAGCAAGTTTGTTGGTTCCGTTGTTGTACCCACCATGAGGCAGGCGTCCATGCTGCACAGTAGTGCCGACAGCGCCTTTTTTGATCCCCAGTTGCTCCGAAACCAGCACGACCCTAAGCGTTACACGTACACGTCTTCGCTTTGCTTCTCCTTTAACTCAAGGTATCCGGAGACCTACCGTCGACCGAGCTTTGGGAATCCCTCAAGGTGTTTCTACTCGACGAGGACACCTCCACCTCCTCCTCCTCCTCCTCCCCGCCTGAGACCCAGCTGAATGTCACTGCCCTGGTGGACCTGGTTCTGCACCGCCTCCGAAGCAATAGCTCCGCTTCCGGGCAGGCTTCCGCCGCCGCCGCCGCCGCCGCCGCTCCGGGCGCCAGCAACCCAGCCCTGCGCGCAATGGCCGTGGACTTCTTCGTGTCCCTGATCCATGTGGAGGCCGTCGAGAGGAGCAAGTTCGCGATGGCGGCCGCCGAGGCGGCGGTGGAGGCGGCGGCGGTCGCCGAGAGGGAGGAGCAGGCCCGCAAGCAGGAGGCTCAAGACGAGCCGAGGAAGAAGGAGGATGCCACCAGCGGCGGCGGCGGCGGCGGCGGCGGCGCTTCCGCTTCCGCTTCCGCCGCAAAGGCGGCACCGAGGGCTACCCCGCCGACCCCCGGGAGGAGCTCCGTCTGGCGCCTGCTGGACGCGGTCTCCGCCGCCTCGGAGGCCCACGGCGAGAAGGCCGAGCTGCTCTCGGTGCTCGGGGCGCCGGCCGTGGCGGTCGCCGTGCTGGAGGCGGAGGCCGTGGCGGGAGCGAAGAGCGCCGGGAAGATGGCGGCGGCGCACGGCT